CGTTAAATATAAAAAAGAAGACTCTCTGAATTCCATTTCATTTTTTTTTGCATGAAATAAATTGATATATACAGTTATCTATTACATGTTTACACTGCAGTAGGGGGTTTAGAGCCTTCAATACATCTTTATTCATGCATTCCATGTGTAAACTGCAGTGGGGTGTTAGAGTTTCAATGTGTACACTTCGTTAGTATTTTAGAGTTTGCAGCAGGGTTCTAAAGTTTCAATGCATCATTTTTCATTCCATGTGTACACTGCAGTGGGGGTTTTAGCGTTTCAATGTGTACACCTCGTTAGTGTTTTAGAGTTTCTATGTGTACAATGCAGCAGGGTTTTAAAGTTTCAATACATTATTTTTCATCATTCCATATGTACACTGCAGTAGGAGTTTTCGAAGTTCAAAACATCATTATTCATCATTTGATACACTGCAGTGGGGTTTTCGAATTTCAATACATCATTATTCATCATTGGGTACACTGCAGTGGGGTTTTCGAAGTTCAATACATCATTATTCATCATTGGATACCCTGCAGTGGGGTTTTCGAATTTCAATACATCATTATTCATCATTGGGTACACTGCAGTTGGGTTTTCGAAGTTCAATACATCATTATTCATCATTGGGTACACTGCAGTAGGAGTTTTCGAAGTTCAATACATCATTATTCATCATTGGATACACTGCAGTGGGGTTTTCGAATTTTAATACATCATTATTCATCATTGGGTACACTGCAGTGGGGTTTTCGAATTTCAATACATCATTATTCATCATTGGGTACACTGCAGTGGGGTTTTCGAAGTTCAATACATCATTATTCATCATTGGGTACACTGCAGTGGCGTTTTCGAATTTCAATAATCATAATTCATTTATTGTGTACACTACATTGTTTTTTAAAGTTTCAATTTGTACACTGCATTGGTATTAAAGAGTTTCCATGTGTAAACTGCATTGGGGTTTAAGGGTTTCCATGTGTACACTGCAAGGGAATTTTTAGATTTTCCATGTGTACTCTGCAGTGGAATTTTTAGATTTTCCATGTGTACACTTCTTTTGGGTTTTTAGGGTTTCCATATGTCGATTGTAGTGGGATTTTTAGACTTTCCATGTGTACAATGCATTGGGATTTTTAGAATTTTCCATGTGTACACTGCAGTGCGATTTTTAGAGTTTCCATGTGTAGACTGCAGAGTGATTTTTAGATTTTCTATGTGTACACTGCAGTGGGATTTTTAAATTTTCCAAGTGTACACTGCAGTGGAATTTTTACATTTTCCATGTGTTCACTACATTGGGGTTTTGGATTTCTATGTGTACACTGCAGTGGGATTTTTAAGGTTTCCATGTGTACACTGCAGTGGAATTTTTAGATTTTCCATGTGTACACTGCATTGGGGTTTTAAGATTTCTATGTGTACACTGCAGTGGGATTTTTAAGGTTTTCATGTGTACACTGCAGTGGGATCTTTAGATTTTCCATGTGTACGCTCCAGAGGGATTTTTAGATTTTCCAAGTGTACACTGCAGTGGGATTTTTAGAGTTGCCATGTGTAGATTGCATTGGGATTTTCAGGATTTCAGAGTGTAGACTGCATTAGGATTTTTAGTGTTTCCATGTGTACATTGCAGTGGGATTTTTAGGGTTTCATGTGTATACTACAGTGACAGTGGGATTTTTACGGTTGCCATGTGTACACTGCAGTGGGATTTTTAAGGTTTCAATGGGTAGACTGCAGTGGATGTTTTTAGATTTTCCATGTATACACTGCAGTTTGATTTATAGAATTTCGATATGTAGACTGCAGTGGGATGTTTAGGGTTTCCAGGTGTAGACTGCAGTGGGAGTTTTAGGGTTTCGAGGTGTAGATTGCAGTGGGAGTTTTAGGGTTTCCATGTGTACACTGCAGTGGGATTTTTAGGGTTTCGATGTGTAAACTGCATTGGGATTTTTAAGGTTTTCATGTGTACACTGCAGTGGGATTTTTACGGTTTTCGTGTGTATCTGAAGTTGGATTTTTATGGTTTTCATATGTACACTGCAGTGGGATTTTAACGGTTGCCATGTGTCCACTGCAGTGGGATTTTTAGGGTTTCCATGTGTTCACTGCAGTGGGATTTTAACGGTTGCCATGTGTGTGGGTTTCGAGGTGTAGATTGCAGTGGGATTTTTAGGGTTTCCATGTGTACACTGCAGTGGGATTTTTACTGTTTCCATGTGTTCACTGCAGTTGGATTTTTACTGTTTCCATGTGTACACTGCAGTGGGATTTTTTTTAGAATTTCCATGGGTAGACTGCATTGGGATTTTTAGTTCATTTTCCTTTTTAAAAGTGCTAGATTTGAAAATTATTAACTGGTTATTACCAAACCATTGTATTAACAGCCGGTCAATAACTGGATATCTTATGGCAAGATTTTATTAATTGGTTGCTTTATCATTGATGTAAATGTATGGTGTACTGACCTACCAATAGTAAACTTACAGCAATCATATATTCATATTTATTTCTGCAACTGAAATAATTTCAAAACTCAAATCTCATTTAAAATTAGGGTGAATGTAATATAACCACAAACAGACGTACACCTTACCTAACCCAGGATTATCATTTTCTCAATATCGAAGTCATGAAAGCCATACTTTAATATCAATCTTCATAACATAGTTATCCTTGGGAAATCTACACCTCATTTCAATGGTCAGATAAATTCTAACAAGACCCTGAAAAATCTACACCTCATTTCAATGGTCAGATAAATTTCAACAAGAAATTGTTACTCCATAGTAAAATGTCCCCAGCCGCTGTATAAATGAGGAATTACAATGTGTCATTTGTGGTAGGAGAGTCAAAATATGGTTAAAGTCCCATAATAAAACATGAAGGCGAACAAACCTACCAAGTAAGATAGCTTTCAGTCAAATGGTGTCACAGGAGTTACATCCACAACGTGTTATTGTGGTACAAAAGTATATAACAGGCTAATTGTCCCATACCTCCCGAAAAATGGAAAAGAGAATATGACAACAAAGTATACTAACAATTATGAAAGCTTTCTGTCAACAATCATTGATGTGTCTGGTATGGACAGACGGATTACCATACCCACTGTGAGACGTACAGGGAACAATTATTTCAGAGATGCCAACCTCATTTGATTTAATCAATACTAACTTATTTCATCCAATGTTTGAAAAATCAGTAATTTTCAGTTTGACCATTATAACATGTTTGCTTAAATTTACCATGAACATGAGAAAAAAAAATTGCTAGACTTGGTCCTTATATAAAATAATGGCTTGCCTTCAATCTCAGACGTGAATAACAAGCTGTTATCTCAGATGTGAATGACAAGCTGTTATCTCAGATGTGAATGACAAGCTGTTATCTTAGATGTGAATGACAAGCTGTTATCTTAGACGTGAATGACAAGCTGTTATCAATACATTTGTTTCTTTTGTACACATAACATTGTCTTAATATTCTTCATGTCTGGGAGAATATCTTCTTCCATATACTGCCCACATTCAACTTTCTGAATATACTGGCAAATTGTTATGATTTATTCATTAGTTGTAATTGGCATTGAGCTAGCGTTCAGAAACTGCAAGTACTCTTAGATCAGTGCATTGGGGTTTTAATGTTTTTCTGGTACTTATTTTCGTAAATTGTTTTGTTATAAATTAGGCCTAAAGTTTTTTTTATTTTGAATCATTTCACATTTTTTCATGTCAGGGTTTTTATAGCTGACTATATGTTATGCGTTTTTCTCATTGTTGAAGGTCGTATTCTAACCTATGATTGCTTGTATCCACTTATTTGAACTCTGTTGGATAGTTGTCACATTGGCAATCATACCACATCTCCTTATTTCTATGGATTGGTTTAATGAAATAGAACTCAGATGTAAGTGGTCACAAACAAACTGCCTCGTCAACCACTCGGTTATATTCTTTTAATATAGTTTACATTTTTTGTTCATTTATGCTGTAGGGTTGCTGTCCATTTACATTTACCCCATATCTCCTTGTATTCATGTTTGGTCTTTATTTTGTTTATTTGTGCTGTAGGGTTGCTGTCCATGTACATATACCCAACATCTCCTTGTATTCATGTTTGGTCTTTATTTTGTGCATTTATGCTGTAGGGTTGTTGTCCATGGACATATACCCCACATCTACTTGTACTCATGTTTTGTCTTTATTTTGTTCATTCATGCTGTAGGGTTGCTGTCCATGGACATATACCCCACATTTCCTTGTATTCATGTTCGGTCTTTATTTTGTTTATTTGTGCTGTAGGGTTGCTGACCATGTACATATACCCCACATCTACTTGTATTTATAAGTATGCTTGGTCTTTATTTTGTTCATTTATGCTGCAGGGTTACTGTCCGTGTACATATACCCCACATCTTCTTGTATTCATGTTTGGTCTTTATTTTGTTCATTTATGCTGTAGGGTTGCTGTCCATGAACATATACCCCACATTTCCTTGTATTCATGTACAGTCTTTATTTTGTTTATTTGTGCTGTAGGGTTGCTGACCATGTACATATACCCCACATCTACTTGTATTTATAAGTATGCTTGGTCTTTATTTTGTTCATTTATGCTGCAGGGTTACTGTCCGTGTACATATACCCCACATCTTTTTGTATTCATGTTTGGTCTTTATTTTGTTCATTTATGCTGTAGGGTTGCTGTCCATGGACATATACCCCACATTTCCTTGTATTCATGTACAGTCTTTATTTTGTTCATTTATGTTTTAGGGTTGCTGTCTCATTGACATATACCCCACATCTACTTGTATTCATATGTCTTTGTGTAATAAAGTAATAAAATTTCTTTATTGGATGCTATATTTCTCATTGAATATATTTTCAAACAGTTTTAAGCATGTAAAAAGTCCACTTCATATAACCAATTAGTAATGATATGAATCTAAATGCTGGCGGCACACAAAAAAAAAAACAACAACAACCATCAAATGAATAGCATAGTATAATGTGTAGTTTTGAATAGCATAGTATAATGTGTAGTTTTGACTAGCATCATATAATGTGTAGTTTTGACTAGCATCATATAATGTGTAGTTTTACAAGTCAACTTAAATTCTTGCCCATGAATTCACACATGCGTTTTAGTGCTAGGTCACAACATTCTTTGTTGTAGTTAGGGCTAGTGGTATTTGTAAAGGAATGATTAGCCTCATAGCGGTAAAATTCAAAAACCACACCAGTCTCTTTTAATGTTTGTTCCAACAAAGCCTGATCTTTTGGAGCAGAAAATCCTTCCAGGGTATCTAAGTTACCAAAATGACACTGAACTGGACACTTTATATTCTTTAAATCACACAGTGCTTTGCCTGGAATTCCATAAAATGGTGCTGCTGCATCAACTTCCGAGACTAATGCTGCTGAGGCTAGAGAAAGGGCTCCTCCCATGCAAAACCCAGTAACACCAACCTGAAAATATAAAATAGATATAAAACCCACCTTTTTACACCCAGAATTTTTCAGATTAATTATAAAACCCACCATTTTATACCCGGCTTTCTTCAGATATAAACCCACCTTTGTATACCGGCTTTATTCAGACATAAACCCAACTTTGAATACCCGGCTTTCTTCAGATATAACACCCACCTTTGTACACCTGGCTTTCTTCAGATATAAAACCCACCTTTGAACATCCGGATTTCTTCAGTTATAAAACCTGCCTTCGTTCACCCAGCATTCTTCAGAAATAAAACCCACCTTTTTACACCCAGAATTTTTCAAATTAATTACAAAACCCACCATTGTATACCCAGCTTTCTTCAGATATAACATGTATAAATCCACCTTTATATACCGGCTTTATTCAGACAAAAACCCACCTTTGAATACCCGGCTTTCTTCAGATATAAAACCCACCTTTGTACACCTGGCTTTCTTCAGATAAAAAACCCACCTTTGTACACCCGGATTTCTTCAGATATAAAACCCACCTTTGTTCACCCAGCATTCTTCAGAAATAAAACCCACCTTTTTACACCCAGAATTTTTCAAATTACAAAACCCACCATTGTATACCCAGCTTTCTTCAGATATAAACCCACCTTGGTATACCGGCTTTATTCAGATATAAAACCCACCTTTGTACACCCGGCTTTCTTCAGATATAAAACCCACCTTTGTACACCCTGCTTTCTTCAGATATAAAACCCACCTTTGTACACCCAGCATTCTTCAGATATAAAACCCACCTTTGTACACCCAGCATTCTTCAGATATAAAACCCACCTTTGTATTCAGATATAAAACCCACCTTTGTACACCCAGCATTCTTCAGATATAAAACCCACCTTTGTACACCCAGCATTCTTCAGATATAAAATAGCTCCTTTAATGTCAGCTACAGCACCAGGCCAATCTAAATCATTCATATAATGTCCTGCTGTCTCATTATCAGTTGCGACCTTTCCTCTATAAAGGTCAGGATTCAAGGTGACAAACCCTGACTTTGCTATGAGTTCTGCCTCCTGTATAATTTGCTCATTCATACCCCACCATTCCTGGATTACGACAAGCCCTTTCTTTGTCGAGGCTGGATCACCCGTCACAACTCCTGGACAGTCACCAAGTTTGTTCTCAGTCTTAAAGGTAACTCTGTTCTGTGCCATGCTAGCCTGTATACCTGAATAGGAGCTGAAATATATACAGTAAAAGATTACAATAAAGTCACCTGGTTTGTTCTCAAGTCTTTAAACTGTAACTCTGATCTATGCCATAATAAATGTACTAGACCTTAAACCTAAATAGGAGCTAAAATATGTAAGTTACAGATTACAATTTACAAAGACTTTGGGGGGGATTTCAAAAGTTATACAAGTTCACAATATTTTAGATCACAACTGAGATTACAAATGTTAAATTTTGACTTTGATGCATTGATTTTTAAGTATAAGTGACAATAACAGGTGTGCAGTTAAATACATAGAAGATGATACTTTTCTTCTACACATCGAACCATCAAACTGCACTCTTCTAAACATCAAACCATCAAACTGTATTCTTCGTGATTGGCACTATTAAACTCTAGTATTATCTTGAAGAACATATAACATAATCTAAGCCAGTGCCTAAAACAAAAGCTTAGTTCAAGTGGATACAAACATTTGAGCTTTATACATACCGTACAATCGACCCTTATCATTTGAGTTTTATACATAACGTACAACCGACCCTTATCATTTGTACTTTATACATACCATACAACGTACCCTTATCATTTGGAACCCCTTCATCCTGGGTTAGAAACCCTCTCTTTTATAAATGGCTGGATCCGCCCCTGACATAATAATTTTTTTCCTACAAACACTGCATCGTATTTTACTATATTACTTACGAAAGAACTCATCCGGAACATGCATGCAATATTTGTCACTAGACGTTAAGCAACCAACAATCAATACTAACGAGAGTCATAGATATTGGACCGAAACGACCAAGGCCGAACTGGTATATCATAGATTTATATATATCTATCTATGTCTGCAAACATGCATTTTTATCAAAACTAGGATTTACAGAAGATAAAATTGGAAAATGCTAGAATAAAGTTTGAGCATGTCAATACATGTGACAAGTCAAGACACTTACTAAGTTATTGAAAACAAATGAAGCCGACACAGTACGAAGTCGGAAGTCTTCTTCTTTGCGTATTTTCCTCCAGCGTTGGAGCACACACAACTGAGTGTGTTAACAGGATTTTTTTGGCAAGCTGTAAAAAATAGATTGGTTTCTAAAAATCATTCAAGAATTTCAAAATATGCCAATATCTGAATATTTCAGATGCCGGGTAATTTGAACTTGTCAAACCACCATCACCTTAATCAGAGACATATATACATATATATATATGTCTCTGCCTTATTCAGTTTTAATCTGACAAACAAATTCTTCATCCTTTACTTGAACATAACTTGATCTAAAATATGCAATATAGAATTTACTATATTCCAAATTTAAGGGCCCACAAGGGGCGGTAACAAGACATTTCGGCACCCAGACAAATCGGCACCCAAGTCCGAAGACATTTCGGCACCCAGACAAATCGGCACCCAAGTCCGAAGACATTTCGGCATCCATTTTGGACATTTCGGGATCCAGACATTTCGGGACCAAGACAATTCGGCACCTCATTTTTTTTAAATATAAAAGAATTGTTACAGTAATATTATAATCCGTAGATAAAATATGCAATACAAAATTTGAAATCATCATTTAATTAGATCCTAAATGATTGTGTATGAATAGTAAAACATCATTTGAATTAAATCATAATTGATTGTTAGATATGACGGTGTTTGAATAAACATTATTTAATTAATCATAATTAATTGTAGTTATGCATTAATCAGTATTTTATGTATAAATCTGATAATTTCTCAATAGAGACAAATGAGAGATAAAAAGTGTATAGCTTGTGTTTCAGCTTGTGTTCTCGTTTGATCCTTACATCTGTAAAGACAACACAATACCTGAAAACTATATTTTATTGTTTTAATATTGAAAGCCATAAACATAAAAGCGTGTGCAAGCCATAATGAGTAAAAACCCAGAAACATATATAAAGGTCAACACTTTTGAATATCCTTTTCTTACACAATGTCAGACGACAGTTGTATACAGTGCCACAATGTTGTCCGCCCTAGACAGGAAGCTTTACAATGTGGTGGCTGTCAAAAGTGGCAACATAGAACATGCATCACTGGTAAGTGGCTTTTAGATATTTTTAATTATTATATTAATTGTTATAAAATAGGTTATCCTTTCTCCTTTCATACTTTTCATTTCCATACAGGAGCCAATTCCGATAGAGCTAGTAGCATTTGTACATAAGGGAGTAAAGGGAATTTTTTCATCATTGCCAAATTAACAGTAATATTAGAAATCACCTTATAAATGCAATTAAATTATGTGTTGTATTGTTATAAATGTCTTGTATGTCGGTTAAAAGCTCATTAGAGCTTATGTTGTCTTTGTTTGTATACTTTGCCGACTCTTAATAAAGCTTATTTATTATTATTTTTTATATTTATTATCTATAAACTGTTGAATATAATTATAATAAATATAATAAATAAATATTATTAATATGCTACATGTGTTTTATTGATTAAGAATACTATCGGAATAGAACTATGCATTACATTAAAACTAGTACATGAATGGTGAAATCTATAAAATAAATGTTCATGTATCAGGAAAAAGAATACATACAAATTAGACAGCTATCCAAATTACTAAGCTGCAATACAGTCTTCACAAATAAACAACAAAAAGAATAAACCACTTCATAAGATACTTCTTCGAAGATACCATATACAATATTGACAATAATGTCATAAATAGTGCAGGAATTAAATTGATAATTTGTAAAAACAGTCGAACATAATCGCTATATTAACACTTAACTTGTAAATTGAGTTCATACCCACATACATATATCAGTGCCAGGTAACTTAAATGTTTGGTTCACTATATTTTGATCAAGGATAAAATAATTGATTTTATCTTTATAAGGTGCCGATTTGTCTATGTTAGATGCCGATTTGTCTAGGTGCCGATTTGTCTGGGTGCCGAAGTGTTTTCTCGGGTACCGATTTGTCCGGATGCCGATTTGTCTGGGTACCGAACTGTCTAGAATTCCAAGGGGCAACATGAGATTACAACATTACACATATTAAACAAATACAAAAGAACAATACTGATGGAAAGAATTACTTGATTGATAGCATTTAATGACACTCACAAAAAAAAGAAATACATATTATTTAACTATGTCTTGTATATGTTGTTGAAGTCAATAGGAAGGTCAATAGCATTTACATAAATTAATCTTAGATAAGATTAAGATAGAGTTTATGGCAAATGATCATATAAACGTTGCGCACGATGATGATACGAATTCCAATTTGCTATAGATTAGCATGAAAATAAATACGTAGACTGGTCAGTTCGATAAAAATATAGTGATTTTTGGTTGAATTTTTTACATTAGACTTGAAAATAAAGAAAAAAAGGAACCGAAATTTAAAATATCAAGAATTATAGGTAAATTTTTAATTAATTAAAAATGCTTAAATCCATCTCGGATACTTTCGACATATCTCGTTACCTGTTTGTATGCATAATTTATCGTTCGTATTTTAATCTCCTCTGATTGGTTGATAGAAATAGCTGTTCACTTCTGGCAAATTTCATATTCCCTTGTCATTTGAATTAGTTTACTGGTCAATTCAACACGTTAAATTTATCTATTTATAAAAGAAAATGTTTTTGTAAAGATAAATTACATTTAAGTTATTTTGGCGTTTCTGTTATACGAAACTTTTTTATAGGTGTAGTTAATCATTTGTGAGTAGGCGGAAAGGGTATTGGGAGACAGGGAGAAAGGGGGCGGGAGAAAGGAGAAAGGGGGCGGGAGAAAGGAGACGAGGGGCGGGAGAAATGAGAAAGGTACCCCCTTTCCACCCCCTCATTTGTAATTAGAATATTGTATTTACATGTACCTTTTTGGTCAAGATACTTTGTGGTTTTTTAACTTTATTTTTCAGAAGGTGATGGTCAAGAAAGCTGGGTTAGACCATTACTTCTACATCTGGTTTACCTGTGAACCTCTATTAGTTTGTAGGATTCCAGTATTTGTTGTTTGTATTATCAGGTATGTTTATATTATAGTCTTTATTTAACACTGGACACTTTATAGTGGCCGTTGGTTTGGTGCATTTATATATTTCGGAAGTTAATATTTATAATTAATATGGACTTTAAATAAAAAATTATTTATGACATATGTATGATTGTAAATGTTTATTTATGCCAAAATATGATTATCATTACTTATGTGTTGAGTTTTGTTTTACTTACATCGAAATGGGAGTGGAGGGAATTGATAAATTTTTAATTAATTAAAAATGCTTAATTCCATCTCGGATACTTTCGACATATCTCGTTACCTGTTTATATGCATAATTTATCGTTCGTATTTAAATCTCCTCTGATTGGTTGATAGAAATATCTGTTCACTTCTGGCAAATTTCATATTCCCTTGTCATTTGAATTAGTTTACCGGTCAATTCAACACGTTTAATTTACCCACCCTCCCGCCCATTTTTTTTTGTATTACTTGAACATTTTTGTACATGCTTTATACCTTATTAAATCGAAGATGTTAGTCTTTTTCAGATAATGCAGATTGCTGAATTTGATGTCTTTATGGGATGTGACCGGTGCATTTATATATTTTGGAAGTTAATATTTATAATTAATATGGACTTTAAATTAAAAATTATTTATGACATATGTATGATTGTAAATGTTTATTTATGCCAAAATATGATTATCATTACTTATGTGTTGAGTTTTGTTTTACTTACATCGAAATGAGAGTGCAGGGAATTACAGTTAATTATCCCATTTTTACGCAAAAACGTAATGTCCAACGTTACATTTTGTGTGCAAAAGAATGGAGTTCCGTTTCTTTCCTACATTATTTTTTTTCTGACCATCGTAAAACTTCACAAGAGTATTGCTATTGTTATGGTTATTCGGTTGTTAAAGCAAAATCAAAATCACTGAAACAGTAAACCGGAAAATGTTATTTTTGAAAACGGTGTGAAAAATGTCCAAGCATATGCAAGGTAAGCATATATCGGGTTTGCGCATTTATACCGTGAAATTGGAAAAGCTGAGAGGAAAAATATTTATGATATTTTGAAAGTTTTTTTACTTTTCTCCTGGTTCATGATATTTTTTTGCCGGAAACCATGCGTATAGTTTCTATTGCAATGACTTCAAAAAGTATAGCCACATTCATGACATTTGTTTTATTCAAGGAACGTTGTCTATCTGAAAGTTTTAAATCATCAAAAGCAACATGCATAATTTTTTTGTTAATAAAATAAAATAGAGAAAAACTATTGCTGGCTATTATAACAAAACAAAGGATATGCGTAATGCCACAAAAATACGGAAATGATAAAAACATGAATCCAAAATGTTTAACTACCTAGAAATTTTGCGACAAAGAAAGCATCGGGAAATGATAAAACATAGAAAAATAATTTAGTTATTGAGGAGTACCAAGTTGTTTTACCTTGAGTATGCAAATCTTTAGAGTTCGCAAAAGCATCATATAATAATGGAAATTCTGACAAATTCTGTAAACGGTAACAATATTTCAACATAGATTTAACAATGTTATTATGTTATAATGTAATAATGGAAATCTGAAAATATGATGCATGTCGTTCCGAACTTGCTAGGCTGCCATTTAAGAATAGGATAATGTTATCCAGCTTTAAATTCTGGGACCATTCAATAACTTCAGAAGGAAGTTTAGTTCACCAAATATATAATGCTACGAAAATGAGCAACCCTTGGGTAAAAAAAGTTAAATATTATCATTCAAAATTTAGGTTTATCATATTTGTCAAACGTTAAACCCACTATTAAACCCCTTTTTGGTTTTATAAAAGAAAGAATAATTGACCAGGGTTTTCAAGAATAACATGCAAATATTTCAGCATCTCCAAAAATAACATTTTCCCAGAGTGTTTACAAAATGAGTGAACGTGCAGCTTATGTTGATGCTTTAAGAAATAGATCAGATCAATCCTCATTATGTAAATTAAGAGTAAGTGCTCATAACCTTGCCATTGAAAGAGGAAGATATTTAAAAGTGCCCAGGGGTGAAAGAACTTGTGAAATCTGTAA